ACCTGCACCACCAGAGGTGCCATCTCATTGAAAAAATGAAATGAAACTCAGTGCTGTCGTGTCGATTTGACTAATAACGACCCCTCTGGGTTTCCGAAGCAGTATCTCTATGGACTTAGATTGCCCAATCTTCCTTACTAACCCAGTATATTCCCTCATGTTCACTCTTTTATGCCCCCATCTTATCAGCTGGCAAGCAGATGTTTTCCCTACAGAGGTCAGCAAACTTTTTCTGTAAAAGGCTAGAAAATGATCTTTGATTACTGATATTCTCCTTTAGTATGAAAGCAGCCGTGGACCATATGTTAAAAAATAATAAATAGACATGGCTGGTTTCCAATACAACATTTCTCTGCACACTAAAATTTGAATTTCATATATTTTTCACATGCTATGAAATGTTATTCTTCCTTTGATTTTGGTTGAACTGTTAAAAAATGTCAAAACCATTCTTGGCTCACGGGCCATACAAAAGTAGACTGCAGGCTCCATTTGGCCCAGGGACTACAACCCCTGTCTCCGCCACTCCAGGACAGTGCTTGATTATTCTCATGACTGTGCAGAAAATGGTCACCCAAGCAGCAAGTAATCCCAAAACCACTTCTATTGGATTGTAGAATGTACTCTGTAATTTTTAAACACTTATTTTTTGGTTACCTTGATTCTACCCTAGTAATAAAAATAGCAGACATTCCAGGTGAGCGAGACAAAGAGGCCCCTTTAAAATGATGATGAGCTGTGTGGGGCTTGTCCAGTGGTTGCAGACTCCCCAGTAGAAGGGGGAGAATGCTCACACGGATGATAAACTGGAGAGACAGTGAGCATGTTTGTGCTGCTCTTATGGGAAGATTCAAATACGGGCAGTGCGAATCGTGCATTCTTTCTACACTATTTTTAAAATCAGAAAACTGCTGATTTACTGTGCTCCCATGGATTTAAACACTTCCTGGGCTTGAAAAGGAAAAATATGTGCCCCTTAGTCCTTGATTGGGAGCTCTGGTGGTGTAGTGCCTAAGGCATTTGACTGCTAACCAAATGGCTTGTGGTTCAAACCCCCCAGCCACTCCTTGGAAGGAAGATTGGGCAATCTCCTCTGTAGAGATACTGCCTCAGAAACCTAAGTAGGGGTCGCTATGAGTTGGATCAACTCAATTAACTTCCTCAGAGGTCATTGGAAATAAAAATCTTATAGCCAAAAGGGTTTTTGCACACCATCTAATCCAGACAACTCATTGATGGGGAATGGAGGCTGCTGTAGGAGATTCTGCCATTCAGTGTTTATTCCAAGGTCACCTGTTTGTCAGTGGCAAACATGAGCCTTGCCCAGGGCCAGATCTTGTGATGCCAATAAAATGGTTCTGTACTGCAACCCTGGCCTTGTCTTCCCTGCTGTGGTTAGATCATCTGCCACCTGGTGGCTTAATGGCCCTAGAGACTCACATCACTGGACAACACTTCGTCTGCCCCATTCTTTCAGAGAGGTCTTCTGGATCTGTAAGATCTGTAGGCATCAGAGGAGGACCAAGAAAACATTCCTCCTGGTATCCAGAGAAGCCATTCCTGAATGGGACCCATTCCTGAATGCCCCAAAATGACCCCTTGGAGATGACCATATAGGTACTTGGTGATGAAACTCTTGAAGGGTTTTATCTAGGAGTCAGATTGTCAAGATGTGATGGCGTCTTCTGCAAGTTGATACATTTCATGTTAGATACTTGGGAACCTTTTGCAATGGTCCCATCTACTGAAAATTTTCTAAAACTAAAATTTTTCTGAGCTAAATTAAAACCACCGCTTAAAGACAAGGTAACAGTTGTTTTGTACAGACTAGGCCACTGCCCAAGCCACACATCACAGAACCCTGCAGATTACTCTGCATTTTACTAATGAAGCAACTAAAGCTCAAAGGAGGTAAATAACCTGCCCAAGATCCCCCAGATGGTAAATGTCAGAGCTGTTGGATGCTGACTTCAAAGTCATAGGCTCCGTACCAAACCAAGCCAGCTGTTAAGTTGTATCAGTTCTGGACTGATGGGACTGTGTTTGTTTCTGGGTTGCCCAAAGTCCTCTTTTAGGCCCCAGTAATCTGAAAAGAGGCCTTGGGTGGTGCAAACATTGAACATGCTCAGCTGCTAGCCAAAAGTTTGGAGGTTCAGTTCTACACAGAGGCACCCCAGAAGAAAGGCCTGGCAATCTACTTTACAAAAAAATCAGCCCTTGAAATCCTGAGGAAGCCCAGTCCCCTCTGACACTCATGGGGTTGCCATGAGTTGGAATCAACAACAACTGTTTTGGTTTGACTTGGAGCCTATTTAAACAGCGGTCTTTGAAGTCAGAAAGTGCAAGCATCCCACAAGCTCTGACATTTACCATCTGGGGGATCTCGGGCAAGTTACTTACCTCCTTTGAGCCGTAGTTTCTTCATCTGTGAAATGGGGAGTAATTTGCAGGGTTTTGTGATGTGTGGCTAGTGCGGTGGCTGCCGTAGTTTGTGAAAACAGCTGGTAGCTTGCCTTTAAGTGGTGGCTTTAATTAAGCTCAGAAAAACTTTCAGTCTTAGAAAATTGTCAGTAGATGGGGTCACTGTGAAAAGTTCCCAAATGTATCAATTTTCAGAAGATACTACCACGTGTTGACAATCTGACTCCCAGATAAAACCTTTCCAGAGTTTCATCACCAAGTACCCATGGTCATCTCCAACGTCTGCTGATCCCCTGTGTGTCACAGTGGAACTGTGTTCTCTGGGGTTTTTCAGCGGCTGATGTTTTGGAAGTAGATAGATGGCCAGGCCTTTCTTCTGAGGTGCCTCTGAGTAGACTTGAACATCTAACCTTTGGTTAGCACCTGAGCGTGTTAATCATCGCACCACTCCTTCCATAGGCTGTTATTGTTATGTGCCGTTGAGTCAGCCCCGACTCATAGTGACCCTTCCTTGGGTTTCCAAGATGGTATCACTACGAAAGTAGATTAACCAACCTTCCTTCCAAGGAGTGGCTGGTGGGTTTGAACCACTGGCCTTCGGGTTAGCAGTGAAGTGCCTTAGACACTATGCTACTGGGACCTAAAAGAGAACTTCAGGCATCCCAGAAACAAATATACCTCTTCCATCAATCCTGTGAGCCACGCACCAGAAATTAATACATCTTAACACATTTCCATGGTAAACCAGGTCACTAGTGTTAATAGGTAACATTTCTGGAGTACCAGCTAGCATGAGACACTGTGCTTAGTATGTTATGTGTATTAACTCATTTGATCCTTATAATAACTCAAAGAGATGCAATACCTTTATTTTCCCCATTATTTAGGCAGAAGGAGGGTAACTTGCTCAAGGTCACACAACTGTTAGGGAGCAGGACATGTAGTTTTCGGAGCCTACAGTCTCAACCAGGACACTTCCTAGTCTCCGTACCTACAGCAGGGGTCATTGACCTTTAGGACTAGATCATTCTTTGTTTCAAGGACTGTCCTGTGCATTGTAGGATGTCTAGCAGCATCCCTGGCCTCTAATCTGTAGGACCCCTTTTCCCCTCCCCCACAGTTGTGACAACTGAAAAAATGTCTCAAGACATTACCAACTGTCCCCTGAGGGTCAAAATCACCCCAGTTGAAAACCACTGACATAAAGTGCAAAACTTTATAACTCACTGAACTCACTGCCATCGAGTCAGTTCCAACTCATAGCGACCCCTCCTTGGGTTTCTGAGGCGGTATCTCTATGGAAATAGATTTCCCAGTTTTCCTCCTGAGGAGTGGTGGGTGGGTGTGAACCACTAGCCTTCTGGTTAGCAGTCAAGTGTTGTAAGTCTCCATAAATGTTTTGGTAGTTTAACTTTCTTACTAAAGGTAGATTGATTAGTAAACCTACTAATTATGTTTTCCAGACTTTTACACACGTTCATTTAAATCATTTAAACTAAATTTGGTGCATCATCTAAATGGAATAAGAGCATGAGGAAAACCAGTACTTCTTTCTAGTTGATTGATACAGTGTATAGCTTGCATTGCATCAGCACCTTGGGAGGGGAAAAAAAAAAAAAAAGATACGACCACAGCCCACAGATCAGAAGAGGTTTTTAGTTTTTGTTTTTAATTAAAATATTTAGCTGGTAGGTCCCTGGGTGCAAAGCAAATGGTTTGTGCTCAGCTGATAACCAAAAGGTTGGTGGTTTGAACTGACCCCCTGGCACCATGCAGGAAATAGGCCTGGCAATCTACTTCTTTAAAGATTACAGCCAAGAAAACCCTATGGACAAGTTCTTTTCTGTAACACATGGGCTCTCCTAAGTCACAACTCAACCACAAAACATTTAGCAGTAAGTCACCACAAAAATGCAGTAACTTACGGGTTCACAGGCTGTAAGATCATGAGAGATCCTAGAACACTGCACGTCTATTCCAACCTGCCATTTTACAGAAGGGGCCACGAAACCCAAAGAACCCAGAGGGTGACTCCACTATGGCCTGTCTAGTTCATCACAGAGCGACCCGTCTAGAAGCATCCTTTCTCGGCTTCTAGGATCTAGGTGTGGGAGGGTGCCCAACATGCTGTTGTGAGTATTCAGCACCTGTCTCGCACGTGTGTCTCTGCAGCCCACGGTTCTTCTCCAACACCAGCCCGGACCTCCCCAGAGCCTGCTGCTTCCACTTCAAGTCCAGCTACGACTTCAGCTGCACATGCCTTGGATCAGGGCCAGCCGACGGTCACTAATAACCCAGAGCCACGGGGGTGAACTGTACGCTCCAGGTCTCTTTAGATGAGATCCTCCCTTCATCAGCTGGTATTGGGAAGCTGGGACAGGGCATTACACTGGTAAACTCCTTAACAGGTCTTGTCTACTGGATGCAAATGTTGCACTTGGTGTCATTTTTTTCTTTAATCAAATTACAAGGAAGTACCCACAGCAGACAGTGGATATACCAAAGGTTATGAAACACATACAAGGAACATCCTGACCTTAGGGGCATGTGGGGAGCTTAACTGGGTCACGGTGAGTTCTCAGTCCTGGTGATTGTGTGTATAGGCTGTCCTAGTTTGACCTGTGACATATCCAGATCCTTATACACTGAGATGCATTTTAAAAATCTTAGTTCCTCGTTGATTCTTTTTTATTAGAGAACAGAATAATGTGGCTTGCTTGATAAGTTAGGTAATATTTTACTACATGTGTTTGCCACAGCCCTGCTTCTCCAAGCACCATGGACAGGCTTCTCTTTGACTTCCCAACTCCAGCAGTTGTAAGGCACCTGGGAAAAAAAAAAACAGGACAAGGCTGAGAATGCAGGGAAGGCCATGGCTTTGTAAATGGGTTTCCATTTTCCTCCTTGACTTTTTCTGGGGTCATAGTGCTTCTGAATCATTATTTGATGACATTGTTGGAGATTGTTTACTTTTCAATTGCAATCCTTAAAAGAACATTTTAGAAAATTCTTAGTATTTAAGTGTAGTCTTCTACTTTTCCCATTAGAATAGAACGGCAGCAATGGAATATGCCGAAAACAAGCCTTTAGCGCGTAGTCTCATCCTGCCCCGCACCCCCATGCCTGCCTGGGGCTTGCGTTTTCAGAGGTCTGAGTAGGGTGTGTGTGAGCGTGTGAATGCGTGTGCAAGTGTGAAAGAGGAAGAGAAGAAAAGCAGGTGTGTCTGTACACTGTATGCTGCTAAGGTAGTAAATAAATCAGTAATGCAATATTGTGGGTCCAAACTACTCTTTGCACTACCTTATTTACAGTAGTAAATAAAATTATTTTTATACAGTTGACTACTGGGAAGTCTCTTTTTTGGTATGTCTTCAAGACTGTTGTTATCACACAAAGTCCTAAGGTCCATGCATTCTCCTTGAAGAGACTGAAAAAAAAAAGTCCTCTTTTATGGGAGGGATTAGCGTTTGTGGATGTGACAGTGGCAGGAGGCCCCTCCCCAGGAATCCTAAGCTCAGGGTCCGGCCTCTGGTATTTGCTTAGAATCCACCGTAGTTCCGAGGTTGCTCGGTGCTGCTTGGGAGCTGCGCTTTGTATCAGCACACGGTGAGTCTGCTCTGTGGCCCCTTTCTCCTGTCTGTGTCCTGCTCTTGCTTTAGCAAAGCTGTCCTTCCTGGTTGAGAAATAACCAGACTTTGGTGTCTGACAGCCCTGGATTCAAATTCTAGCTCCACCAATTACTAGCTCAGTGACCTTGAGTTAGTCATTAACCTTCTGAGTCTCAGGCTCTGATTGTATAAAATGGGGGTCATAAAATCCACCTCTGCGCTTTCCAGGAGGCATAAATGAGATAATGTATGTCAAGCCCAAGGGCAGTGACCTGAACGTGATTAGTTATTTTATTAGAACGTCTGAAGGGCCAGATAGAGGACTTCCTGCTCTGCTTAGACTCTCTTCGAGGAGCCCTGGTGGCACAGTGGTTAAGCGCTCTGCTGCAAACTGAAAGGTCAGCAGTGTGACTCTACAAGTTGCTCTGTGCAAGAAGGATGTGGCAATCTGGTTCTGTAAAGATTTACAGCCTTGGAAACCCTTTGGGGCAGCTCTCCTCTGTTCTGTAGATGACTGTGAGTTGGAATTGACTCTACAGCAACGGGTTTGGTTTTGTTTTTCGGGTCCCTCTTTAAGGCAAACACACTATTGTCCATAAGCTCCTGGCAGCTCACAGCTACACCTCACTGGGAATCTTGCTAAGCCTCAGGGATTGGCCCACAGGACAGCCATGGCCCATGACTTGAAGCTTGGCATTTTGAGCTGGATAGTTCTTTGTTGTTCCAAGCTGCCCTGTACACTGTGGAATATTTACCAGCCTCTGTTCACTAGATTCCAATAGTGTATCCTTTTCTCCCCCAGTTGTAACAGCCAAAAATTTCTCTAGACATTGCCAATTGTCCCCTCATCCTCCACCCTTCACCTTGAGAGTGACTGAGACAGGATAAAAGGCCACGTGCCTCAGTTTGAAACAATCCTGAAGGGTCATCCCAGCTCCAGAACTCCATCTTGGTTGCAGCCTCATTGTAGTTCAACTTCTCCCTCTGCCCAGTTCTGCCTTCCTCACTTTCTTACAGGGTTTCCTGACACGGCTCGGTCAAAAACCTTCAGTGCATCTCTCCGCCTTAGAGTCTGTTTCCAGGGAACCTGGTCTAAGACACCATGGGAGACTGGTTTAGGGCCAGGATATGGACTCTCTGGCACCATCCTCATCTGAGTTGGTTAGCCGCAAACACTGCTCCACTCAAGGGGACAACAGGAAGAGCTGGAGTGGCTCCAGGGCCAAACTAATTCAAGGGAACTGGTAGACCACTTTTCAGTCCACTTAGACTGCTGGTCCCTTGGGCATTCTCAAGGCTTTATGAGCTGGGTCCAGCCCACACCTCTCAAGACTCAACCTTCCTTTTCTTTTCCCAGTTTCTGAACTCACAAAGCTGGAGTCCAAACTGGCTGCAGTGGAACCCAACCAAGTGAAGTTAACATAGGGTAGGGGGTGGAGAGGAGAAAGGGATTAGGAGGGTTGGGTACACAGCTGGCATGCAGTTACTTCTCTATTGTCCCCTCTGCCTGAGATCTTCTTAGACTAGGAGGTACAGACAGATTATGAAATAAATCCAGCGCACAGAAGTAACTCATTTGGTCCACCCAATCCTTTTACAAATTGGAATTCATTGTCAACATCTTACAATCAAGATTTATTTTACCTGTAATATGAGTTGTGGCCTTCTCCTAAAATATCTAAAGAGAAGGGGAAACTGGGCTTTCATTGCTGCTTGGCCAGAATCAACTGAGACTGAGTAGCGTCTAGGGAGGCCTGTGTTTCCAGTTGGCCCTGTTGCCCGCCATTCCCTACTGCAGGCTAACCCACTCTTCCTTTATGCAGGTAATTCATGCTTTGGAATTCCTTCTCTTCATTCTTAATCTCTTCATTTTGGCAAACATGAGCAAGATCCTCAAATTTAGTGCCTTTTTTTTTTTTTTTTTATCTAGTGCTTTATTGCGGGAGCTCTGGTAGCATAGTGGCTAAGACACTTGCCTGCTAACCAGACGGCTGGCGGTTCAAACCCACCAGCCACTCCTCGGAAGGAAGGTTGGGCAATCCTACTTCTGTAATGATACTGCCTTGAAAACCCAAGGAGGGGTCGCTATGAGTCGGGTTTGACTCGACGGCAAATAACAACAACAACAACAGTGCTTTATTGCACTATCCAAGCACCCTGATCACCCAGTTCTCCCAAGTACAAGCACACCCTGGGAACCAGTCAACTTGGGCACACAAGGAACCTCAGGACAAAGAAACACCCCCAGGCCCTCCTTATGTAACCATTGGAAAGCCTCCCACACCATTCAAGAGCTATAGGAGCTCTGAGGTTTCACTCTGTTTCAAAATCCCAATTAGGCCCAGGGCAAGGGACTCCACCAGCTAAGTAGGGCTTAGATCCCAACCCTCAGGCTCATAGTGTCAGAGGAGGCCAGGTCTGGCATCCCTTGTGACTTAAAGGTCTCCGTTTTGCAATAAAAGTTTGTTTTTTTTCCTGACTCTGGCAGGGCCTCAAAAACAAACTCACTGCCATCGAGTTGATTCGACTCATAGTGACCCCTATTTGGATTTCCAAGGCGGAATCTCTACAGAAGTAGATCGCCCAATCTTCCTTCAGAGAAGTGGCTGGTGGGTTTGAACTGCCAGCCTTCTGGTTAGCAGTCAGGTGCCTTAGGCACTACGCCACAAAAGGTGGAAGCTGGAGAGTGGTCAACTTCCTTTCCCCTCTTTGATGGAGGGAGATACCAAGATGTGCATTGTTTGGAGTCCTGATGGAGGCTCCAACAAAGCTATGAATAAAATAACAATTAAAAAAATCAATACTGTTTTTCTAATTAGAATATTAAATAAAGTTTCATTTACAATAATTACCAACCAACAAAAAACCCACTGCCATAGAGGCAATTCTGACTCATAGTGACCCCCATTAGGTTTTCAAGGCAATAAACCTTTACAGAAGCAGATTGCCCCATCTTCCTTTCACTGAGCGACTGGTGGGTTTGAACCTCTGACCTCCTCATTAGCAGTCAAATGCCTTAGGCACTGTGCCACTAGAGCTCCTTACCATAGTTACACTGTCTACTAATTAACCTAACAATGAATTTGCTACATCTTTACAAAGAAAATTTGAAAATTCTATTACAGTACATAAAAGAGTATAAATAAAGTAATACACTACGTTCATGGATTGAAGAAAAACATACACATATGCTGATTTTCCTCAAAATGATTCTATAAATTTAGTGACATTCAATCAACTTCCTGACTACAGATGGTGAGGAACTGACAAACTAATTTTAAAATTTGCATGGAAGAATAAAAGTCCATGCACAGCTAAGGAAAGTTTGAAAAATGAAGAGTAAAGGGAACTTACCTAGCAGATACTAGTTTTGTTTTTGTTTTGCCTTGGGTATTGCCCTTTTTATTTTTATTGTGATGTGGATGGAAGTTTACAGAGCAGATTCATTTTCCATCCAGCAATTCATACATATTTTGTTTCATGGCATTGACTATAATTCCCCACAATGTAACAGCTCTCTTCCCACTTCCTCCCTGTCATTACTTCTTCCCTGTGCCCTTCCTTCCTATGCATTCCTGCCCCCCATACACACCCGAACTATTTTCCTTTGAAGCACTACCCACCCTCTGTTCTTCCACGATTGATCTGATCACACCTGATGTAAATGTTCACCCTGTATGCTAGTCTATTGTTTGTCTAGAAGC